GTTTAACTTCTGATTGTTGGACTGCGTATACAGTTGAAGGTTATATTTGTATTACTGCTCACTTTGTGGATAGGAATTGGAAGTTAAATAGCAAGATTCTTGCTTTTTGCAAAATGGAGCCTCCACACACTGGTATACAGTTAGCCGGGGCAGTTTTGATTCTTTGAAAGAGTGGGGAATTGATAAGAAAATATTCTCTTTGACTTTGGACAATGCTTCTGCAAATGATAGCATGCAAAATATTTTAAAACAACGTTTGTGTTTGCAGAATAGTTTGTTGTGTGATGGTGAGTTCTTTCATATTCTGTGTTCTGCACATATCTTGAATTTAATTGTTCAAGAAGGGTTGAAAGCTGCAAGTACTAGTATTCAAAAAATTAGGGAAAGTATCAAATATGTAAAACAATCTGAAGCAAGAAGAATATTGTTTGCTAAGTGTGTGGAGCAAGTAGGAGGAATTGATGATAGTGTGGGCTTGAAGTTAGATGTCCCCACTAGATGGAATTCAATTTATGTCATGCTAGACAGTGTGATGAAGTATCAATGAATGTAGAATAATGAAGTATCAATGAAAATGGAATCAAGCTGCAAGTACTAGTATTCAATTTATGTTTGTTGAAGATACATGAAGATTGTGATGATTTGATACTTAAAGATATGGCATTAAGAATGAAAGTGAAGTTTGAAAAATATTGGAGTGATTACAGTGTTATTCTTTCTATTGCTGCTGTTCTTGATCCTAGGTTGAAGTTTGATTTGATCAATTTTTGTTATGAAAAGTCTGATTCCCTTGGTTGAGAAAACAAGGTGAATGTTGTTAAGAGAAAGATGTATCAGTTATTTAAGGAATATGATAATGGGATAAGTTTGGTTTCAACTTCAACTTCTTGTTCACAAGTTCAAGCATATTCTTCTCATGCACTAGAAATCAATTACTTTGGAGTAAGTGTTTAAACTTAATAAATTTATTTCAAATTCTATTTAATATGTTTTCAAGTTTTAATTAATTAATTAATTGTGATTTGTGCAATTGTGTTATTTGTGTAGGAGTTTACAGATTTTTCTAGTGAAAATAGTGTTGTTATCAAAAAATCTGAGCTAGATACATATCTCGAAGAGGGGAAGCTAGATCCTAAGTCTAACATGAAAATGGATGTTCTACAATATTGGAAAGAGCATCAAGCTAGATTTTCATGTCTATCCAAAATGGCTTGTGATATATTGAGCATTCCAATCACTACAGTTGCTAGTGAAAGTGCTTTTAGCATTGGCTCAAGAGTCTTGACAAAGTATAGATGTTCCCTTGACTCAGAAAATGTTCAAGCGCTCATTTGTACTCGCAATTGGTTGCTAGGATTTAATTCTGAAGGTATTAATGCATTATTATTATTATTATTTAATCGCTATTTAATAGTTAATACTTATTATATATACTTATAATTTCTAATGATTTATTGATTGATTTTATAAATTTATGTAGATGGTGGAGATCCTAGTATGGGTGAACTAATTATCAATTGAGAAGGGCAAAAGGCTTCTAATGTTCTTGGTGGATAAAGGTACTTTAGGAGTTTAGACTTTAGAGTTTAATTTTTTAAGATTTGTATATTTATTTATTGATTTATTATAATACTATTTTTTTTATTATTATTTTTTTTACAGTTATGAACTTATGAGTAAATGAGTTATGATGATTGATGATGCTATTGGGAAGGCTTGTAATGGATTTATCATTTATGGACTTTTGAATTTAAATTATGTTTGAATGCTTGAATATTTTGGACTTTTGATCATGTGTGTCTTGCGATAGTGCGAAACTTGAACACTTTAAATGTTTCATTGAAATTGTGTTGAAAACTTGTAAGATTTGAATGTGGAATAATGGACAATTGGACATGAATGTTGTCATTGTTGTGTTGAAATTAGGAAGTATGTCATTCTAGATTTCTAGAGTTAAATTGTAATTTATTTATTATAAGGTATATCAAATTAACAATAAAATAAATAGATTGAATAATTTGAAATAAGTGCAAATATTAAAAAAAAAAAAATCGTACGGGCTGACGGGCTGGCCCGTTTAGCCCGTCAGCCCGTAACCAACGGGCTGGGTTGGGATTTTCCCAGCCCGTATGAAAACGGGCTGGCCCGTCCCGTCCAGTATGTTCTCAACCCGTGACGGGCCAGCCCGTATGGGACGGGCTGACCCGTTTTGACAGCTCTATGTGTATGGAATGTTTCGGGTTTAATGGTGCAGTGTACGGTCGGAGATGGGTTTGGTGCATGGCTTGAGTATTTGTTGCGGAAAGTTGATGAGAATCATTTTACTACTATGGTGGCCATTATGTACCATATTTGGTTGCAACGGGACTCGGCGGTATGGGAATTTAAGGTGGGAAGGCCCCGACAAGTGCATGTGATGGCTATGGCTTCCCTCGACGCATGGCGTGCGGCTGTGGTTGCGCCGGTTCTGCAGCAGGCTTCGGAGGCAGCAACTGCCGCTGCTGGGCAGTCCGATGATGCGCTGCGGTGTTCCTCCGATGCAGCCTACGCGGCTGCGACTGGGAATAGGGCGTATAGCCTGGTTTTACAAGATGCAGGAGGCGGTTTCATTGCAGCCAAAAACGGTCCTCTACCGTTATGTCAGGGACCCTTTATGGCGGAGGCTTATGCGTGTAAGGAGGCTTTATCCTGGCTTAGGGATCGTGGGATTACGGAAGTCGTGCTTCGGTCAGACTGTTCGAACCTGTGTCACGCTCTTAATGATTCAGCGACAGAGATTCGCTCTTATGATGGTGTAGCTGTTTCAGCATGTCAAGACTTGATGAGTTTATTAGTTTCTTGTTCTGTTGTTTACATTCCCCATAATTTAAATGTTATAGCTCATTCCTTAGCTCAGATAGCCTCTTGGCAGGCAAACTCTATGGTGTGGGAGGACATTCCTCCTGCTTTTGTTTCGGCTTTGGTTGATTAATATATGCAGCAGTTTACTTTCAAAAAAAAAAAACCTAGAATTATAGTACGAATAGGAAAGTAGAAAACAATATATTTTATTAGAAATAGAGATTTTATAGGAATTGTGCGGGAAGTTAAAGTTCAAGATTTTGTTTTTATATATACTATAGACTATAGATATAGATTAAAATAGTAATTGTATTACACTATTTTATAATATTAGAATATGAATTTTAACCTAGAATTATAGTACGCATATGAAAGTATAAAACAATATATTTTATTAGAAAGAGATATTTGTTAGGAATTAGGCTGGAAGTTAAAGTTCAGGATTTTGTTTTTATAAATATAGTATAGATATAGTATAGAATATTATAGATTAGAATATGAATTGTATTGGACTTTTTTTATAATACTAGAATATGAATTTAAACCTAGAATTATAGTACAAATAGGAATGTAGAAAACGATATATTTTTATTAGAAATAGATATTTTTTAGGATTTTGTTTTTATATATGGTATATATTAGAACATGAATTGTTTTACACTATTTTATAATATTAGAATATAATTTTAACCTAGAATTATAGTACGAATAGGAAAATACAAAATAATATATTTTTATTAGAAAGAGAGAATTTTTAGGAATTGGGCAGAAAGTTAAAGTTAGGATTTTGTTTTTATATATAGAATATATTATAATACGAATTGTATTACACTATTTTATAATATTAGAATATAAATTTTAACCTAGAATTATAGTACGAATATGAAAATAGAAAACAATGTATTTTTATTAGACAGAGAGATTTTCTAGGAATTGGGCGGGAATTTAAAGTTCAGGATTTTGTTATTATATATAGTATAGTATATATAGAGTATAGATTTATAATATTAGAATATAAATTTTAACCTAGAATTATAGTACGAATAAGAAAATAGAAAACAATTTATTTTTATTAGACAGAGAGATTTTATAGGAATTGGGCGGGAATTTAAAGTTCAGGATTTTGTTATTATATATAGTATATAGAACAGAATAGGAATTATATTACACTATTTTATAATATTAGAATATAAATTTTAACATAGAAATTATAACTATAAATCCAGAATCGCATAACTATACATCCATAAATTTATAACTATACATTCAGAAATTATGCACAACATAATGTTGTTGACGGGAATCAAAACTGATTTTTTTTTTTTTTTAAGTTGGACGTGCATTTTTAGACAAAACGACATCGTTTTTGCATCCGAGTGCACCATGCATAGTGTACATGGATGCACAACATAATTTTCCTTTTTTTTTTTCAATTTCATAAATAAATTTAAAAAAGAATATGGAAATTAAGTCTAATGCATTTTTTTATTTAATCAATCCATCAAATGCATTTGTCAATTTATTGAGCAAATACCAATTTTGGTTCTACGAGTATTAGCAAAAAATTTTAGTCCACATGTTTAATTCCTACCAATTTTAATACACAATTATTGTTTTAGTACCAATTTTGGTCTACAACTACTGTTTTAGTGTCAAAATTTATCACGCTGATCACCCCTTTCGTTGAGACATGTTGAAATATGAAATTATGAAGGGTATTTTCGCATTTTTCAAATTAAGAGCCCAATTTAAGCATAAATAAAGGAATTTAAACTCTAAATTGATCATAATTCGCAGTGTTCCTCCTCAAATTAAGGTATGATGAGGAGGAGAATTGCGAATTGAGATCAATCTTAGGGCTTAAATCTCTTTATTTATGCTCAAATTTGGATCTTAAGTTAAAACTGACGAAAATACCCTTTAAAATTTTAGATTTCGGTATGTCTTAAAAGGAAGAGTGACCGTGGTGATGAATTTTGATACCAAAACAATAATTGTGGATGAAAATTGGTATTAAAATAATAGTCAAAGATGAAAATTGGTACAAATTAAATATGTGGACCAAAACTGTCATTTTGCTAATACTCGTGGGACTAAAATTGGTATTTGCTCATTTATTTTTTAAAAAATTACTCAATCTTTTAAATGTATAGAACAGTGGAGCCGAGCTCGAGCCACTTGAGCCCGTCCGCTCAGCTCGTTCGCAACCCTACTCCCAAGTATCACACTATCAATGTGCCCTCTGTTCAGTAAACACTCATGCATGTCGCGTTGTTCTGACTTCTTAGTGCAAATGCATTGAGGGGAGAGATAGTAGAACTCGCTGAAACCCTCTCACACCCAGTAACCCGTCCCCTCCAGCGACATCTCTCTACATATCAGCACCTTTCTAAAGTCTCTATAGATTAGCGTCTGAGCAAACCAAGGTATGGGTTGATTTTTCACAAAAAACGCGGTAGTAGGAAATTATGTGCTTCAAATTGGTTTAGGGTTTAATAATGATTCTCTAGCTTCTTCTATGCCCTTCAAATTTCTGCATTCTGTGTGACTCTTGATAAATTGTTTGTTACTTTTTTCCTTTAAATTTTGAGCAGGCTTTGTATTTATCAGACATTATTTAGGCCACCATTAGAGGTAGGATGAGAAAACATTTAAAACTTGAAAGTGGCATTTGAATATTTAAAAACCTTTTCTGGAGATACTAAATACTCGTGTTAAATTAACACTCAAAAATTGCTACTGCTAAATTTCAAATGCAGTTTTGGAAATAAATTTTTAAAAGTATAGATTATTTGATTTCAAATTTGCTTTTATAAAGTATTCTTCTCTTCACATGATATCAAACCATGTTGCTTGCAGTCTATCACAACTTGTTGATGTTTAGTTTGATTAGTTTTGTATACTTTCTCCAAACCTCATTGCAGTACTAGAATGTAGTTAGCGATACTTCCTTTCGTCTGTAAAGTTTGATTTGTAGTGATTGCTGAGTTATTTTTGTAGATTTTGATTTTGTCTCTGAGGGCACATGCATTGAGGAGAGAGATAATAGAGAGAGGGATGGCTTCAGCTTTGGAAAATGAGATTCCATCACCGGATATTATCATACCCAACGAATGGTCCGATACTGCCGACACCATAGCCTATGATTCTGTTACTTCACCCCCACCGGTTTCCTTGATCTGCGGCCCCAAAAATTGTGGCAAGACTACGTTTTCCCGCCACCTCCTTCATGTTCTTCTCAAAAGGTCCCCCCCCTTTTTTTTTTATTTTTTTTTATTTTTTTATTTTTTACTCCACTAGTCATTACATTAAAATATGAATCGTGTTTTACCTTCTAATGCATTGTGTATAAGTGAAGTAAAATAGATTGAAATTTACTCCGTATATACTTATTGCCACTATTGTATGAATTGGACATTTAATTTAAGCATAAACATTTTATTAAGCTTTATTGAATATTTGATGTAATCAATTCAGTGAAAGGATACTAATGGCCTATGCTATACATAATCAGGAAATTGTTAAGCTTGCATGTGAAACATCAAATATGAATACAAATATCTATAAATAGGGTGCTCTTCCATTTGATTAACACAGTTGCTATTTGGCATTGAACTGAGTTCCTTGCATATATTTTAAACAGTTAAGTTGTCTAACCAAAAGGATTTTACTTTTTGGAAGCAGAGGCTGGGATTGAAATAGGCAAAATTTTTGCTAAAAAATATTTGGAATTTTATTTCTTCCCATTTTCCTTTGAAAGAACTCTTCACAATTTATTTTTTACTCTGTAATTTTTACGGGTAATAATTGTCAAATTGTGATAGGTTTGGTAGGATTTTAGCTTTTATTCTATAAACATTGATATTGATTTATTTTTTTGGAGTTTCAGGTATAGAAAAGTGGCTTATTTGGATACCGATGTTGGGCAGACAGAGTTTACTCCACCTGGTTTCCTATCACTCACAATAATTGACAAAATACCTGCTGGTATGCAAATAAATGGCCTTTGGCAATTGGCATCTGAACTGAAGCTTCTTTATTTGCTTTCTCTGAATAAAATCTGTTTGTCATTTTATGACATGATGTGTTAATAAATTTTTTTTTTTCTTTCTTTATCAGATTTGACAATTCCATGCCTTAAAACACCAGAGAGGTATGCACCCTCAGCTTTGTTATCAAGTAAATCTTACACTACCTTGTTAACCTGTGATAGTATTCTTTGTTGCAAATTACAAAAGATTGTTAAATCCAAAAGGGGAAGGGGAATAAGGTAAAAAATGACACTTTAATGAAGTATTTGCAGATAAAGCATCCTTGCAAGTTGTGAAATCAAGTTGATTTAATGGCTACATTAGAGTTCATGTTTGCCTGATGTCTTCCCAGTCTAGCTGTAGAAACTTGCACCAAATTCTGTGGTCTGCTATAATAACATATACTCAATGTCTAAGGAGGAAAAGTAATTTACTTTTTTTTTTTTTTTTTTTTTTTTTTTTTTTTTTGCTTTCTTTTCATTTGAGGTGGCATTTCCAAATATCACACAGTGTCATACATAATTTTTGTAACTAGATGCCAATGCTCTTCATGCAGTTTGAATATCTGATTTTAATGGTGTGTGAAGAAAACATTATTTTCATCTGAATTTTGTATTCATATGGCATAAAGTTGAATGATGCATGTGGTTTATGTCTTGCACATCAAGTTGTGTTTCCAACTGTTAGTGCAAATTGAAACAAATGATCTTCTATTCTTCTAGTATATTTGTAAAATTCCCTACTAATTTTTCCTTAAAATTTTCTTTCAGATGCTTTTTCTTTGGCGATATTTCATCAAAAAGGGACCCAAAACTCTACTTAACATATGCATGTGCCTTGTATGATCATTATAAGAAAAAGTACTACATGCTTAATAATAGTGAAAAGCCTGCTAATGCAGAAATGCCCATTGTGATTAATACCCCTGGCTGGGTAAAAGGTTTGTTTGTTTGTTTTAAAGAAAATTTTATTTTCAGTTCATTATTTTTGCTTGATATACAATTGAAATATTCAAGTATCATTTTGTTTTCCTTGCATGTTAGGCATTGGCTATGAAATACTTGTGGATATCTTGAAATATATTTCTCCTAGTCATGTTGTCAAGATTCGCATATCTGCTGAGAGCAAGAATCTACCACCGGGGGCATTTTGGCTAGATGAAGGGGAAGCTCCAGTGACAAACCTAATTGAAATCAATTCAGCCCGTCAGGACTCTTCACGAAGATCGTATGTGCTACTTTTAGTCTCAAATTAATACGTTAGTACCACTTTGACTTGCAAACTGTAATGTTCTGTTTAGAAAGCTGCCTCTCTACTTTAACCAGAAAATGCATATTCTCTAAATTTTAGGGAACTTTTTGTTGCTGATTGTTTTAGTATTTTTATGCTCTTTCACATTAATATGCTATTATTTCTACAAACAACCCAAACTTAGTTTGCAGGAGAGCTATAGCTTCATCAAGTATCTGCTTTCCTCATGTTTTTACGCTACTTTTAGGATTCTGGTGCAGAAGGATGCACGACTTCTGAGGGACCTTCGTATCATAGCTTATTTTAGACAATGTTTTCCAAATGATGCTAATATCACTACATCCAAGGAACTAGCTCATGCATTAGCTGCACATCCTCCATATGAGATATCTATATCAAGTGTCAAAATTAAGCACCTTCACTGCCAGGTTGGTTCTGCTACTAATAAACATGTTATTTTGCTATGACTGATCAAGAAACTGACCTGGAAGTATGCTGAACTCTCTTTCAGTTCAATGGATTTTTCGTATCTTTTTCGCATTATCTTTGATCATTTGATGAACAAGTTTGCATAATTCATAAGAGAGTTATTAAGAGAGATAAGTGAGGATAAAAACTTCTCTGATGACACAAAATATTGTTGCTAGGTACCCAAGGATGAGGTTTTCTACAGCTTGAATGCAACAATTGTTGGCTTGGCCGTTAGCCCTGAAGATATGCCTCACTGTGTTGGTTTAGGTGTGTTACTGCAAAACTTATCTTGCTTTAGGGAGTTAGCCAATTTTCTTATATGCAGTGGAAAGAGTAAATTACTGATATTGATCCTTGACCCATTTAAATTCTGGGATCAACTGTTTACTATATCTACTTCTAAGTGACTGTTGCATTTCAATCTTAATTCTTGGTCCTGATAAATTTAATATGAAATTGGTTTTTCCTCTTTGTTAATAATGAATTAGGAATTGTGAGAGGCATTGACACCACCAGGCAGGTCATCTATTTAATTACTCCTGTGCCATTGGACAGTCTGGAAAAGGTTGATCTTTTGCTGCAGGGTTTTATTGAAATTCCTACTTCTTTATTGCAAGTGAGTTTTCCTTCCTATTATGAATATCGGTTTCTAGCTGGTCTTGTAGATCTTTTGATTTCATTTCTAGCCTTTTGCACTTTGCCTGAGAAAATATGACTAGAGTTCCTACCCAAAAATTGAAAATAAAGAGGAGATATAAGACGACATTGGGTAATTGTTAGGCACACAAAATATGGAAAGACCTTTTGGTGGAATTGGAATTTTCAATCCACCGAGTTTGTGTTGGATGGAAATTTCTTTAATGCCTCCGTCTACATGGATGTTTGTGATGCACAACAACCTAACCTAGCATGGCTTTTTAACAGGGCGTTTAGTTGAAAGGAAGGAATTAGGGGGGAAAGGAATTGTAATTCGGTGGGAAAAGAATAAGGTGGGAATAAAGTAGGAATTCTAATTACATTGTTTGGTAGGGGGGCATAGAATTATTGGGAATGAGAAAGGAAGTAGTATAAAGACTAAAAAATGTCCTTGTGTAATAATAATACTACTAATAATAAAGGGTAAAAAAGGCTTTTTCTTCCTTTTTCCCTTTCCTTTCCCCATTGAATTGCAATTCATATTGGGGAGGATATGAATTGCAATTCAACAAAATGAGGGAATTGCAATTCGGTGGAATTGTTATTCCCTCCAACCAAACACTGTAATTCGGATGGCCAAAGAATTATGCTGTAATGACAAAACTATTAACTAGAAAAGAGATGGTCTAGTTGCTTTAGTTTTATATATTAGGTCAAAGATAAATAGATAACTTGAACTCTTCTCTCTGCCTTCTCCATCCAGAAAGGTTCATTATATTCATAGAAGTAAACCCCTTCTTGATGCTCTAAAAAATTATACAAGTTTCTAGTTTCCATGCTAAGCATTTATATTTTCAACTTTTTAGACTCTAATTCAATTATTGGGTTTTCTTCAGGTTCAAGGCTGCATTTCACCTTACATGTCTGCCAATGTATTGCCTGCATATTAGGAGACCAATAGTGGTGCTTGTTAGAATTAGATTATTAGTTAAGTAGTAGTTTGCAAAATTAAATTACTGAGGTTAGATATCCTCTTAATAGGAATTCTAATATATCGAACAACAAATGTACTGTCAGACGATTGAAGTTGTTTGGATTGAACATCTCATGTTTCATCTTTCTTTAGTCTGTTTTTTAATGCTTTCCGCTCTGCAGCAATTTTTTCTTATAGAATCGGGAGTTGTTATTCTAGGGACCAAGGTTTATATTGCAAGGTGGACCATGGTGGTCCTAAACGATATCTAAAGGAATCAAATATGTTATCCAACCGCATACAATAATGCAATTAGGTCACTGACTTAAAAAAATAACAATTGAGTCTCTAAACTAATCAATTTTATGCAATTAGTCTAATTTATAGGTTTTGTAGGTTAGTAATAAGTAATCCTAAATTTAAAATATTTTTTTAAAAAATTATATTTAAAAATAATTATTTAAAAAAAAAAACACATCTCTGTCAGAGACGAAGAAACTTTCTTCGTGACGAAGATCGGCCGTGGAGACGAAGAGACTCTTCGTCTATGATCATGGAGACGAAGCTTCTTGCCAGAGATGTCTCCGGGGCCAGAGCTGGAGATGTGTGTGTGTGTGTGTTTTTTTTTTTTTTTTTTTTTTTTTTTTTTTTTTTTTTTTTTTTAAATTTTAAATTTGGGGTCCTTGTTACTAACTTGCAAAACTTGTAAATTGGATTAATGACGTGAGATTGGTTAGTTTAGGGACCCAATTTTGGGTTCAGTAGCATGAAATTGGTTAGTTTAGGGACCTAATTGTTGTTTTTTGTAGGTTCAGTGGCCTAATTGGATTATTGTGTGCAGTTCGATGACCTATTTGACTTTTATTGTGTATTTTTATTATTGAAATTGTGAACTTCTAGAATATAAATTATGTTTATAAGTCAAAACACATCACAACGGTAGAAGAGAATTTTTGAATACAATGCATGGTCATTAAATCCTAATATGTTAATATTGTGTGATTGCAGTATTTAAAAAGAATCTGTGAATACAAAACAAAGTAATCAATTACATATATGTTAACATTGTGTGTTCGTAGTGTACAAATTGTGAACATTAAGGTGGACTTGAATCGGTGTTTTTTTTTTTTTTTTTTTTTTGTTTTGTTTTGTTTTTGTTTTTTGTTTTTTTGTTTTTTTATTTTTTTTTGCTTTTGTTTTTGTTTTTTTTTTTCTTTTCTGTTTTGTTTTGTTTTGTTTTAATAGTACTGTATTACAATTTTTAGTTTTTATTTAAGGCAAAAACTTGTGTGAGACCATTTCACGGGTCTCAATCTGTAAGACCGGTTGGATATTTGATTAATGATGTCAAAGATCCGACCAATTAATCAAAGATTTGTCCCATTAATCAAATATTCGACCCTTTCACGGATTGAGACTCGTGAGACGGGGTCACACAAGTGTTACCCTTTTTTTTTGCTGTATTATCTATTAATCCATCCACCCAAGTGCATAAAGAGCAATCGTTATGCTGTGGAACCGTGTCCACCTTGTAAGGTGGACACGATTCTATGTTCATAATTACTGAACTATATATTTATAATTATAAAACTATATATTCATAATTATTGAAGTCTATATTCACAATCACAGAACTCTATGTTCATAATTACTGAACTATATGTTCACAATTATTGAATCTCTATATTCATAATTACAAAATTATATATATTCATAATTATGTTCACAACTCTATGTTCATAAATTTTAAAAAATATATTTATAATTAGAGAAAATGACACTTTTTCCCTATGAGTTATATACTTATAGCACTTTTCCCCCTGAATTATTCAAGTGGCTGTTTTCCCCCCTGAAATGTTAAATGGACATATTTACCCTTAAAATAAATATTTCATTTATTTTTCTTCTCCAACAAATTATGACCACAATTTGGTTCAAACCAAACAGGCACTATAGCAACCAAACCGAAATATTCTAATTACATTTTAGAATCGAAACCCGATATTTAGAGTTTATTAAAATCGCAAACTGGGACAGTCGATTCATGTTTCGAACTGAAAAAAATAAAATAAAATACATTTATTGTTGAATTTAGATTATTTTAAAATAAAAAATAAAATAAAATTTTAAAATAATGACAGTTCAAAATTGCGAACCGGATCCGAAACCCCTGGTTCACGGTTCAAGATCCAATTTTTTCGATTCATAATTTTAATAAACTAAAATCCAAATATTGGGTTCTGTATCTGAATCATAACCGGAAACTTTTAATTCGATTGCTATAGTGTCCGGTTCAATTCGAATCGAACCGTGGTCATCCCTACGTATACGCAATAATTTGTTGGAGAAAAAAAAATATAAAATGTTTACTTTAAGGGTAAAAATGTCAATTTAATATATCAGGGGAAAAATCGTCACTTTTAAAATAATTGAGGGGGCTAATGTGCTTACATGAATAATTCAGGAAAAAAAAATGCTATATTTATATAACTCAGGGAAAAAAAATATCATTTTTCCTTATAATTATGAACAAATTTTGAAACCGTGTCCACCTGGATTCCACGGCCTAATTTGCCATATATAATGTCCGCCATGCAATTGTGAAACTTTCATATATGCTGGAGATATCTCCATTTCACACGTACCTGTTCCTTTTGGCTTGAATTGGCATCCCCTAAGCTTTAATTTGGATTGGAACATCTATCTTAATTATTACTATTATTATTAAGATGGATCAGATCACACTGAACTCATCATCTTCACAGCGCGAACCCTAAACACACGATCGACACGACGATGATCTGGGATTCTGGGCTTCATTATTACTCTCCAACCGCCAACATCATCACCATCATGATCTGGGCTCATCTCGGTTTCGATCTGTTGTGTATTGATGTTTTCTCCCAGTCCCCGACGACGACCACACAATATTCATTATCAGAATGAAAACGCTGCCGTTCAAGTGCTTCGTGGAGCAGAATCTGGGGAGACAAGGGCTCGCATTCATTTACGCCATTCTGGAATTTGTGATGGTGTTGTTGCTTCTCGTTGATGGGATACTAGGGTTCTTCTCTGCGGAATTCGCCAGGTTTTTCGAATTGGAAGCCCCCTGCTTTGTGTGCACCAGGATAATGGATCCCGCATTCGCATTCTCTTCCTCGAATTGCTGCCATGGTTGTGTGTGCGAAGCCCACAAGAAGGACATCTCCTCCCTCGCGTATTGCCATGCCCACCGGATTCTCTCCGATATCAGAAGCATGTGCGAGGAGTGTATTCTCTCCTTTGCGGCCCACACAGACGGGGATTGTGAAAGGTACAAGTCTCTGCTGGGGGTTATGCATAATAATAGTAAGGATAAGGATATCGTGATCGACTACAAGGATCCCGAAACCGCTGCGGCGAGATTCTGGAGTAGAGATTTTGAGGAGCCGGGAGGCTCTGTGATTCCCAGGTGTTCTTGTTGTGGGGAGCTTCTAAGCACACCCAAATGCATTGCCACTGCTACTAGTATGAAAGCAGGAGTGGCTCCGCCTCCCTCCCCTTCCCACACCCCTCCACCCCAACTGCACAATCCTCATGGTGATGAGTTACCTCACAGTATTCCTTACACTCAACTCATGGTTTCCAACAACGATTCTCATCAGCTTCCAGATAATGAGGAGGAAGATGATAATGTTTCAAATGAAGGTAACATCTTGTTAGGATCCCTTGGCCAGTCTTAACTGCATAGTTTTTACTTTACGTGCCTTTGATACCACTTGTTAGAATCAAACACTTACCACTACTAGTAACCAGCTTGGTTGGCGTTGGCGTGAGTGCATCCGTGCACTCTTGTCTCTCGAATCCCCTCTAGTTTAGAAAAATCAACCTGGCCCGCACTTTGTCCGGCTCGATGCAAACGGGGTTAGTCTGAATATGGTACAGACTTAAAGGTGCCCCTACAATTAGGGCATGCTCAGGACACATTGTGGTCCACAAAAAAAAGATATATAACTAGTTGCAAAGATATATAACTTATCTAGTAGCAAAGATATATAGCTTATCTAGTAGTGAAGACGCAATTTTATTTCCTTATAGACCGCTATTACATTTTCGATAGGTAGGTATTGGACTTGGCATTTCATTGGCTTCTGCCCAATAATCCACTAGCCACCAATGGACTTGGTCCTTTCTTAAGTACCCCACCAGCAGCTGGTTTCTAGTTTTTGGCATATGAAGGCTCTAGCTGCTATTACCACTAGAATATTTCAATTTTTATTACTTCTTGTACTGCAATTCACTTAATTTGTGCATAGCTGCTATGGTAGCTGCTGATTTTCTGTAAAAACTGCGGGCATTTGACAAGAATGGAAGCTTAGAAGTTTAGTTCTGTGATTATTGGCATAATAATTTATTTAATTTAATTTGTTGTCCGGCCTGCATATATAAATACATACATACCAGGTGGAGAGAGTAGGTATAGCAATAAATCTGCAACAATGCTATTGGTTCCAGAATCTGGGGGGGACCAGCTGCCTGAAGATGCTGCTTCCAAAACCCCAAGCTTTATTAAAGGTGGGAACAAGTTCTTGGGGATACCTTTGTCAGATTCTTCTTCAACTCAACCTAGTCCTGGATGGTTTAACCACAACAATAACAGGTCAATAAAGATGTCAATGGATATCCTCCCAGATGTTGCAGCTGACACGAATGAAGGAGATGGTGAGAAGAAGCAGGTTCTCATGGCTCTGTGCATGGAATTGGACGAAGAGAGGAATGCTTCCGCCATTGCAGCCAACAATGCAATGGCAATGATCACTCGGTTGCAGGCCGAGAAGGCAGCCGTTAAGATGGAAGCATTGCAGCACAAGAGAATGATGGAAGAACACGCAGAATACTACCGAGAAGAGCTGCAAGTGATGAAGGACATGCTCCTAAAGAGAGAGGAGGAGCTGAAGGATCTAGAACTCGAGCTCGGGATGTACAGAGAGAAATTTGGATCAGTAACGGTTGTCGGGAGTGAAATGTTCCATTCTGGGGAGTATATTAATGAGAACATGTTGGATTTGGATTGTTCTATGGAGATAGAGAACGAGAGATCTCGCCTTTTCAGCATGTTCTCAAGTTTCCAAAACAAGTTCAATCCGGCATCAAACAATGAAGAATACCTTCTAGTAAAATTAGAAGATCAGGAAGATCAACAACACTTGGGGGGTATAGGTATATATAAACATACATATATATAGTCTATTCTATTCTTAACTTGTTTTATTATTGTTGAATCTTTACAGCCAGTAAACATGGGGTCTTTCATTCTGTTGTTGTAGGAAATGAAAAAAAAGTTACCTTTACAAGAGAAAGGTCAGATATCGGAGAAAGATTGAGAGCCATTGAAGCAGAAAGTGGGTGCTGCATAAAGCACACCACTGTGACTTTACAAAGGGGAGACGTAGGGATCAATTTCTTGACAGAAATAGCTGACAATCTAAAAAAGCTTAGGGAGCTGTGAAGAAGACATCATAATATAATATTATCAGTGTTAGTTACTGGTTTTTGTGTCTTAGGATTTCAACATTGTATGGAAAAGATCGAAATGTGGTGCATCAAATGCTTTATACAACTTTACTCACTTATTCCTAATACAAAATACTACATATGCTACAGAAATAAACAAAGAAAGAAAGATTATCTATTTTCTCTCCTCAAACTATACTAAGGTTTGTTTTTGAAGTTCAGGTTATGACATTCATGAAGTTCAGAGTCTTGCATTACCATTTTTTAGCAAAAAATGTCTATATATATATATATATATATATATATATATATATATATATATATATATATATATATATATATCTTGATTTCATGCATAACAGTACATTTTGAATCAAATTATGCTGAAATATGGTAGTTCATGTTTTGTTCTTACTTTCTGTTTCCGGCAGCCAAACTGCAATATATCAAATGCATATATATATATATATATATATATATATATATATATATACTAGTTTTTTATGCGCATTGCGCGTTTGAGATAATGCCCAATGTTTTTTTTTTTTTTTTTTTTTTTTAATAAGTACTTTAAAGTATATCAAGAAAAGATTATATTGGAATTGATCATGCATAGATAATTGAATGTTAAATTTGCCTATTTAAATAGGCAATTCTAAGTTTATAAATGCAAGATAACATAGGCCAGATTGATTATAATTGCCAATAAAATAATTGTATAAGAGAGCAAATAAAAATTAGGGTATAAAATATTAAATATACACTAATATTGAAGAGCTAATTGCTTATTGCCTATGGCGAGATAGTTTCTACTTCAATTTGTTGTGTGATTTAAATACTCTTTTTGTCAATAAATCTCCAGTAGTTAATATGATTGTCAATAAATCTCCAGTAGTTAATATGATTGTCAATTATTATTATTATTATTATTATTATTATTATTATTATTATTATTATTATTATTATTATTATTATTATTATTATTATTATTATTATCATCATCGTCATCATTATTATCATTATTATCATCCTTAGGTCATTTTACATGTTAATCTAAACAGCTAATTTTTTCAAATATATTTTTCCCAACCGTTGATATAACTGTTGATTGTCAAATAAGGACATTGAGAGGTAATTCTCACTTCAATTTGTTGTGTGATTTGAATACTCTCCTTGTCAACAAATCCCTCAAGTAGTTAATATGATTGGCTTTATTAATTATATTTTTTAATTTTTTCATGGTATTAATAAAATACTTGGTAAATAACTAAATAACATTATTTTATATTATAACTTTGATATTTAATTAAATTGGTTAACCGTTTTTTAACCGAACTTTTTCGGTTCGGTTAATGGTTAGAGGAATTTCAAAACTTCGATTAACGGTTAATTCGGTTCGAAAGGTCGGTTAACCGAAGTTTTTAATACTTTGGATTTTTTATTGAAGATTTAAAGTTAGGGCATGAATTTATTATGATATGTATTTTATTATAATCGAATTTATTATTTTAGGTGATTTTTAGGATTTTAAATTTTAGCTTTAAAAAGTTCGGTTAATCGGTTAACCGAAAAAAATTTCGGTTCGGTTAATTCGATAACACAAACTTCGGTTCGGTTAACAGTTAAAGGTTTAAAAAGTTCGGTTAATTCGGTTCGGCTAACCGATTGAACACCTCTAGTTGCAGTAGGCGCTAGTCGGGCGCCTGGGCAGCGCCTAGGTGGCCTAGACAGAATCTAGGGGGCGCTAAAAAAATAGTGGCAGACTTGCAGTTTGACAATTTTAATGAGGCTGTTTTCAACATTCAATCAAATAACACATCCAAATAAATGAAATAATGATAATTCATAAGTCATAACATCAAAACAATATTAAAAAATAAAAATACTCAAATATGAAATACTCAAATACTTTAATCATCCAAAGTTTCAAAGTATTAAACAAGTCTACGGACAGCTGGACCAGATGACACCGGACAAAATCGACCAACTCGGCCACTAAGTCGATTTTGACCGATTTCGCCGCCTAGGCGGCCAGCCGATTTTTGGGCGCCTAACAGTGAAAGTGGAATGGCCTTGGGGCGCCTAGGCCGATTTTTGCAACACTGGATATTATAGTGGTGCTCTAATGAAACTACATCGTGTATAAAATAAAATCGAATAACATGTCTCACATATTGAGTGTCGATTGTCAAATGAAAATTGTAGTTGAAAGATACTTTAATTTAGTGGTGTCGTAATGAAGTTACAATGTGTATATATAGAATGAAACTGAGTAGCGGGTCTCACATATTAAGTGTGTATTGTCAAATGAAACTATAATTGATGAAAATTTGATCAATTACAAACTTAAGTATTGTAATATTACTTTCAAATATTACAAGTTTGTCTAAAAATTTATTATAACAATTGTTATATTGTGGATCGACAAATTTTACTATGGATCATGGTTCATGTAGCATCGTGGACTAGATAGAAAAATGATGTCGTTTGAAGTTTTTTTTCCGTTAATAATTGTAGACGAAAAATTCCGTTATGGTCCATATATGTAGCATCCTCTTTTCAGTTTCATTTTATACATACCGTAATTAATTTCATTACAACACCACATAAGATATCATTCTAATTAAACTATAGTTTCATTTAACAATATACGTTCAATATGAGAAGCCTGCTATTCAGTTTTATTTTATACATACTGTAATTTCATTGCAGCACCACTAAAGTATCATTCTAATTCAACTACAATTTCATTTAACAATATACACTCAATATGTGCGACTTGTTGTCCAGTTTCATTTTATTCACAATATAATGTAGTTTCATTACGACACCACTAAAGTATCATTCCCATTTAAATATAGTTTCATTTAACAATACTCAATATGTGAGACCTGTAATTTAGTTTCATTTCATAGACACTGTAATTTTATTATAACACCATTAAAGTATTAGTCTGCTAGCTAATTCAATTGCAATTTCATTTAACAATATACACTCAATTTATTAGAGCACCATTAGAGTATCACTCTTATTCAACCATTGCTGCCTTATGGTTAAAAAAAACATGTGTTGTTAGTGATCAACCAGATGTTCTTTATATGTGCATGCATGCGCCTTAGCTAGCTTGTTGCATTGTATTCAAAGTATGTACATACTTCCAGATGATTTATGTAAAACAGAAAAAGGTAGATAATTTTTTTAAAAAGAAATTAAAAAAAAAAAATCACATGTATGGGTTGACAAGGTATTAAAGAGAAATGATCAACATCCATTATCTGTGCTTTCTTTTCTAAATGCTGTTGGGGTACGATATTTGATAAATAGTTGTTAGTTGATAACTGTTAGCTGATTGTATTAATATGTTTGATTAATTAATAACATTAGGTGATTGTAGAAAGATGTTTGGTAAATTAGTTGTTAACTATAACTGATTATATGCAAAATAATTTTTTCAAAAAGCTGCTTTGAGTATTATTTTAAATGTTAACATTTTAAAACAATAAACTGTTACGAACAATTAATTAATCAAACACTTATATTGATTTTTTAACCAAGTTAAATAATTAATAGTGGTCAAATAAATTAAAATTAACTGATAAATTAACTATGTTACAAAATATAGCCTATATATAAATGGACTAATAATCTCATAAAGGCCAGTTCTTATATTAGGAACTAATATCCACGCTGCAAGAGTTGGTACAAGTCTATGTAATAAATGTCCCCTTAATTGTTTAGCCTTGACTTGACTTGGTCTATATATGCTCTCAGATAACCAATTCATTAAGCTACTGACTTGACAATTGCCATTTTTTTTTTTTTTTGATTTGAAAAATAATAAATAAGTAGAAAGGTCACAATCTCTACCCTTGATCTTCTTAAAAGTTCATCTAGAAATTCATTAACAACTTGGCAGCCTCCAATGGCAGATAATATCTGTAACCCAAGGTCAAAAGCCAACTAATCTTTCACCCAATTTTCATAGTTCCATTATTATCTTTCCCACTAATGACTTGTTCTCCAAATGAGAAAATAATTTTTTTTTTGGAGAACATAATTTTTTTTTTTTAACGTAGGTGATTCTCCTAGCTCGCCAAATTAATTCTATGTCTGCGGGATCTCATCCCTAGAATCATTGTTGTGGTAAATTACAAGTTGCTCAATCAGCCTACCAGATAGATCCTAGTCTTCATGAGATTTGAACCTAAAAATAATATGGCCCTGTTTGGTAAAATAGTTAGCTTATCAATTAATTTTGATTTATTTGACCACTATTAACTATTTAACTTGGTTAAACAATCAATATGAGTGTTTGATTAATTAGCTTTTTGTAACAACTTATTAAACAATCAATATGAGTATTTGATTAATTAGCTTTTTGTAACAACTTATTGCTCCAAAATACTAAAATTCATTGAGAAAGTCATTTTGTATGTAATCAGTTTATAGTCATTTACCAAACACCCTATGTACTCTCATTTTCTACTCACAATTTTTACACCAGGTACAACATTTGTATTTGGACCATATGAAAAAAATAACTTATCAGTGTCCGGCACATCACAGAGTAAAACTTAGGGGAAACTCTTTGAACCCTAACAATGTTACCTCCCGTCATGACCTTTAAGCCAGTCAGATGACGAACCAACCAGGCTAACTCTCAAAACTACAAAACATTTCTCTATATATACATCATTGTCATTAAGGGTTAGTATAATCACTGTAAGTTCTCCTCATTTCTGTATTGTTATCGCAGGACACAATAATGGCGGCATCCCTAATCAATCACTTGGGGTTTTGTGCGTTGTGGTTGACAGTTTTGTTCATGCTACCATTAATGTCCCACTGCGCAGATCCCGATCCATTGCAGGACTTCTGCGTTGCAGTTCTGGATAATAGCTCATCCTCCATCCCCGGCGTTAATGGCTTCCCCTGCAAACCAGCGTCGGAGGTCACCTCAGACGACTTCTTCTTCGACGGGTTCACCCAAGAGGGAGACACGAACAACGTGTTCGGATCCGCGCTAACTCCGGGGAACGTTCTCACGTTCCCGGCGTTGAACACGCAGGGGATAGCGATGAACCGGGTGGATATCGGGCCGGGAGGGATGAACCCGCCGCACTCCCACCCGCGGGCGAGCGAGACGGGGGTGGTGATCCAGGGGAAAGTGCTGGTGGGGTTCGTGACGGCGGCGGGGAATGTTTTCTACTCCAAAGTGTTGAGGAAAGGGGAGATGTTTGTGATCCCCAGAGGATTGGTGCATTTTCAGATGAATGTGGGGAAGAATAAGGCTCTGCTTTTCACGGCGTTCAATAGCCAGCTTCCCGGCGCCGTTGTCCTGCCGTTAACCCTATTCGCCTCCAAACCTCCTATTCCTGTTGAGGTCTTGACTAAGGCTTTCCAAGTAGATGCTGATGTTGTTCATGGCATTAAGGCTAAGTTTGGTGCTAATTAATTGATGATCTTTCTTTTGTTTGTTTGTTTGTTTGTTTGTTAAACTCAATTATATTGTCATTCGTTCAACCTCTACTTTTACATAAACTTACTTTCTTGTATACAAGTAAATAATAAGTGAATACCTAGCTATTTGGTTTTCATATGATAAAGATGATTTATTTGTGAAATAATAATTTTAATATAATATTCAATAAATTTTACTTTTGGTTCATAACTATTATACATGAATCACATTTGGTCCTTGAATTGACTATTAAAATTCTTTAATTAGGTTAGGTTCATGACTATATAATTTGTTATTTGTACACACATTTGATCATGTCGTCTAATTTCGTGGCCAACTATTGTCAGAAGTGTTCATTTCAGAAAAAAAAATGCAGTGGTCCTTTCGAAAGCCGGGAATTTGGATGGCAGGATCAATTATACAATTCAAATTACATAGTCATGCATCTAATTAGAAAATTATAACAATCAAAGACCAAATGTGATTCATGTATAATAATCCGGGGACCAAAAGTGAAATTTCTTCTTTAATATTTGTGTTTTATAATATCAATCTATATATAGATTTTTTTTTTTTAATTTCCAGAATTAGGCATGCCATGAAATTAGGTATGCGAAGTAAATAAGGAATAAACACAAGAATATATATATATATATATATATATATATATATATATATATATATATATATATACACTAAGACGCTGGATTGCAAGTGTCCTTTCAGCCTCTTAAAAAGAACATTAGTTGTTTAACCAAGTCAAATAGTTAAGGGTCACACTTGTGTGAGATCTTCTCACGGATCCTTATTCATGAAACAGGTCGGGTCGGATCAAACCAACATGCAAATGTCATACTTATATGCACAAATTTTATACTAATATGTGCAAATGTAATACTAATTAGGAATAAATTTTTTGTTACTTATAAGGGAAAATGTAATACTTTTGAAAATATGAACAGATACTACAATGTAATAGGGTCAGTAACATTCAAAAAAAAAAAAGTAATACTTATGAAAAAAAATGTAATACTTTTGTGTTTTGATGTAAAAGTATTACATTTTCCATAATAAGTAATGTTGACAAGTGCACATTACTTATAAGGGAAAATATAATAATTTTAAATCGAAATGTAAAATCATTACATTTTCCCTTTAGAGTATTACATTTACCCTTATAAGTAACAAAAATTTTATTCATGATTAGTATTACATTTGAACATATAAGTATGACATTTGTGCGTATAAGTATTACATTTTCATTTTGACCCATCCTGACCCGACGATTCTCACACAAATTTTTGCCAATAGCTAATAGTAATCAAACAAGTTAAAATTAACGGATAGACTAACTATTTTATCAGCGCCATTGATGGTCTAAAAGTATGTACATGTAAGGCATTTTGCAGTTTAGTGGAAGGAAATAAGTGCACAGATCATTTAGCTAATTTAGGATAGAGAAGTATTTGTATAGAATTGTGCTTATTTTGGAAGCAACTGGGGTAGAGGCTCTAAAATTGAGCAATATTGCCGTCCAATTTTCCGAGCCAACTATAGCTAAAATTTCAATGAGAAAAAAAATAATTTTTCGGTAATAATTGACCTAAAATACTCTTTTAATTAGAATACTTTTTTTTTTTTTTTTTTTTTTGAAATTCCAACAATAGTTGGTCGAAAATTTTAAACAAAAAATGAATAGTAAAATCAAATGTGATTCAAATTTCATAGTCATACCACTAATTTGAAAATATTAATAATCAATGACGTAATGTGATACAAATTATATAGTTATGCATGTTGTAAATTCTGGTGTATACTTGTGTTAATCTTACGTTCAGAATTATACAGAGAAGAGGAAGGGAAGAGAGAAGTCAGAAAATGCAAAAAATCTGCTCAGTCAGATTTCATTCATAACTGCAATGTATATATACATACAACATTAGGAAACTGTATATAATAGTGGATACAAGAAAATAGGATAATGTTCATAAATAATAAATATTTATAACAATACACCTAATATAAAACCCCACAACGTATACATAAATCATAATACTCCGTTTTGCACTGGAAAAAAGACATCGTCGCCTGAGAGATTCGAACTCTCGCGGGGAAACCCCATGTACTTAGCAGGCACACGCCTTAACCACTCGGCCAAAGCGACTTGTTTGATTGCTGAAGGTAGTTTATTAATACATTGATATTTCGCTGTTTTAGCCTTTTAGAACAGTCATTAAACTTTAGTAGCTGTTGGGTATTGGATAATATGCTGAGAATAACCCTTTTCTTTTGAATCACATTTCAAATGACCTGAGCATCATATATGTGATGACTGCTGCAATTTATTTGAAACTTGTTGAATTTCATACTAACAAGCAATTATAGAGCAACCTCATTAGTCTAGAATTTTTGTTAGTTTTTAAGGTTTAAGTAGGAGAAAAGAGGAACGCGAGGAACAAAGACACCACTAGATAGTAATATTTCTTTTTCTTTTGCAATGGACCCCACAAAAATGTGTTATTTTGGAGTAACAAAAATTGCCCAAAAACCACCTCCCCATTTGTTAAAAAAACCCAACTCAAATTCTTTCTTCTGCAAAAACCTCCCGAAATCCACAAATGTAGTTGCTCTAACATAAATTTAATCTATCTGTATTTTTAAAGTACTTTTACCTAAGCCTTACTATTCTATCATCACAATTGCAATTCACCACTATTTTCTTTGTATTCTATAATTCCAATTCACTTTCAAAATATAACATAATAATAATACGGAGTAACTTACTCCAAGAAAATAATGGAACCAAATCAATGATTTAATGAACGAAATAATAAGCTATGAAATTAAAGCAACATACAGATACAAAGCAAACTCACTGCTACAACTTACAACATATGACTAATAGTGAGATATAATGATTTTGCATTTCCTTCTATATTGATTTAAAACACTATTTTATGCTACAGCTTACTTACAACAAGTCTGTCCCGTTGGGAATGGGATCAACTAATTCAGGTTACAGACATCCCAACTAATTCAGGTTACAGCTTAGTTACAACATGTCTGTCTGGCGCATTGGGATCTTAAAGCACTCGGTTTTGTAATGATGGCCAAGTGAAATAGATACCTTCAAAACAAGCAGCAGCTTAGAGGCATCCCTCCTACGTCCTAATTCCACGGACTGGGGAGCTGGGCATCTCTAAATGCTGGTGTACCGCCGCCTGATGCAGCTGGAGAGGGAGTGGAGGCAACATAATTTGTCCCTGATGTGGAAACTGCGGGTGGATTTGAAGGGAGTCCTTGTTGCACAGTGCATGCAAAACGTGATGGGCTACCTGTTACCCCCAAAGTAGTTCGTGAAGAGAATGGGACCTGTTCCAAAAGACCATTGAATGGAGATAAATAACTGATGTCTATCAGACCCGTCAAGTGCATCACAGTAATTAACTAACATTAAGAAAAGAAAAATGTTGAGCAACTGACTCTGAGAATGTAATAAGAAAAATAAAATGCCTCCAAAAATGAAAGAGTTAACTGTGGAACCTAGCAACAATATCAGGAAAGTCTTTAAAGCAAGAATTCATAATGCCTCCATGTTGAAGATGAGTAAATTTGAATATCCTCCAACCCCCCCCCCCCCCCCCCCCCCCCTTTTTTTTTTTCTGTCTCTTTGATGCAAAAACTTGGATCTTAATATGTAAAAAAAAAAAAAAAAATCATATATGCATTGTCCTTTTGCACTTTCAACCATGAATATTTTGAAATAATCCTAACAGATTGTAGTGACCAATTAATCCCCCTATTTCATGCTTAGTGCTTGAAGACAAGAAAAGGGAAGAGTTAGTCCTCTATTAAAAGTGGACTTACTGTATTATGCACAGGTTTCCTATGTTGAGAGTCTGGAGTTGGTGATGTGCTGTTCATACGAAGCAAGTTGCGGGAATGCACATTCTGGTTGGAAACATCATCACCTTCGCCTCCTTCAACTTCAGTGCTGAGTCCATCTGACCCAATTCTAGGTGTGTTAAGTCTAGTCATTGATCCAGTGTCATTTGAAATATCAACTTGAAGAGGGATTGGTGGCCGACCATTCACCCCTTGCATACTATTCCTGCCCTTCAGTTCCTCTTCAGCACTGAGGATCTGTAAAGCAACAAACAAATGCATCATATTGCCATGTATATATGTAGGAATTCATAAAAAGTGTGCAAGGCAATTTAGCATCAGCTCTGACGCTTTTTTGCATTTAGCATCAGTGGAGAACATAAAAATACCTGCTTCAGCAACTGCACCAAATTGTGCTTCTTTGCATTTAGAACTTCCAATTTCTCCTCAACTTCCTTTTTCCGTTTTTCTTTCTCACTCGGTGCATCCTCTTTGTTGCTTGTCTGCCAAAAGAGTAATGGAAAGCTTATGAAAAAGAAAAGTGAAATTCAAAAAGTAGATAATTAATGTAACTAAGGCCATATTTATCCCGCAATTTCTCACTTTCAAAAGCATACCCTATTGCTATACCAGCATAACTGCAATTCATGACTATTTCTTCTCTACATCCTTACAAATCCAATTCACTCTCATAATATAATGGTAAAATTATAATAATTATTATTAGAATAGAAAAAGAAAAAAAATATTTGAAAATTAAAAAATAAAAATAAAAAGCTACCAAGAATAGTATTTGAAAGCCTTTCAACATTTGAAACCTTGCAAACATTTGAATTTAAAAATTTAAGTTTAAAAAAAAGCTGGAGTGGCACAGCTTCATTGCAGGGTTGAAGGATGCCTAAGAAAGAAAATTCATGGCGGCAGTTACTACTTACTGGACAGAGTATAAATTTTTTTAAAAAATAATTAAAAAATCAGCTAACCTCAAAGGTCAATTAGGCAGTCAAAAACTCATTTGAATTCATCCCTAGGGGGAACAAATTGCGAGGAAAAAAACAAAAACAAAACAGAACTCATTTTACATTATTTCACATTTTCACGACAAGCTCATTCTTATTTGAGCCCAAAATGCCAATGGTAAATGGATCTTGGTACAAAATCTTTCTTGATTGACAATGAATTTCCAAATAAAAATTTAACCTTTGAATAAACAATCCCCTTCACTCTAGATACATAAGCTCCTTTTGAATTTTGATTAATGAAGATAACATACATGACTGGAATGGCTACAGTGGCTAACCTCCTTTAGTACATTGACAAGAGATCAGGGAACACAAAGCCAAACCTAAAGAAAACCAGGACAAGAAACTTAAAAATTTAAAGAGGAACTTCAAATTTAAAGTTGACGCCTTACCATGTAAAAGATCTTCATTTCTCTTCAAGAAAAAATGTTTTGATCCCTATTATTTAATTTTGCAATTCTTATTCACTGAAAACTTATAGAAACTGAGCTACCAAAACTTATAGTATATAAAGAAAAGCATGGTGAATTTGTTCTTGTCATGTAAATGGTTATCTTGCTGTGTGTGGAACAAAATATTTCAATCAACCACGAGATTTCATTTTATTTATAAATAAATAAATAAATAAAAATAAAAAGTTGGGGGATAAAGGAGACTTTAACTACAGCTTTTTGGAGAGATAAGAGGATGCAATTATGCAAAAAGGAAAACAAACTTGTTCTTTGGGAGCTTTATGGTTGTCGTTTTCCTTGCAAAGCACAATCCAAGAAACTAACCAGCTTCACAATTGAATACACGTTTCTGCACAGTAGGGAGCTATTTTAACCCTTATTTTTTATTCCTTTGTTGAGAGAAAAAAAGATGTTAAGAGTGAAATGAGTAAAATTCTTTTGAAGCTTGATGATTATCTTATTCTTTGTAAGATCATGGATTCATGGTATTTGCATCAATGGAAAAGGAAAGTTTAACTGAAGATATCAATCCAAAATAGGGGATCTGTTACTGTTTCTGCAACTCCTGCAAGCCTATGAAAACAGCATCTTAGTCTTAAGAACTCTATTGCCACATTTTGCAAGAGCGTACTTTGTTCATGCATATTAATTATTTGGGAAAATTGCAATTTAGTCCCCAAATTATAGCAGAATAGCAGACTCCATCTGTGTTATAAGTGTCACCACTTTTAGTTCCCGTGTTGTTAGTTATGTCGCACTTTCAGTTCCTCAGTCAATGGGTTGTCAAAATTTACCCTTAGTCTTTATAAAACCTTATTGATTAGGGCTACTAATGAAATTTCACCTCCTATTGCTCTTTTTACCCCCAAATCACACTCAAACATCATGATAACTTCTGTTAAACTGATTTTTTATTTTTCTTTAGTATAATGGAGGTATGTGGTTTACAGTTTTACATATCTAGCCACTAAGTTGTGGAGTTGGAACACAAATTGGGGGGAAAAGAGAAACAGGATGTGAAATCCCATTATTAACCATGGTCAGCTAGAATTTCTAAAGAATAATGATAATTTTTAGCATAATCATTAAATTTAAACAGAATCACTAATGACAGGTTGATAGCGCCACTTTCCTGACAACTTAGGGATTAAAAGTTGTGATGCATATAATACAAGGATTGAGTCAATTAGTACTCTGTAACTTGAGGGCCAAAAGGGCAATTTTCCCTAAGCATTCAATTTATGCACACACAAAAAAAGGTGCATTCTCTTATCTTCACAGTAGTTTCTAACTAATGTTCACTCAACTTGTCTGTGAAGCAAATATACTGAATTATATTACATGAATCATATCCAAGGGACCAAGTCTGACAACTTATCTGAAATAACAATTGTTGGACACCTTCCTTATTTGATTCTTTTGATTTTTTTTTCCTTTTAGTAGAAAAATATGGACACATCTTCTAAATAGTGCAAAGCACCAGGACTCCAAATAAATTTTATTTCTTCATTCGTTGTCTTTAAGTTTGATAAGTAATTAAAGGATGCCAAACAATATATATATATATATATATATATATATATATATATATATATATATATACACTTGATGGAACCAGACTCTTCTCTCTCTTTTAAGCTTGCAGTCACACAAGTTGTTGAATTTCTTGTCACAACCATTATATTTCCTAAGATCACTAATCATAAACATAATATATAAAACCTCAATAGTACAGGATGGACATCTCATAATAGGATAATGGGATGCACAATGAAGAGAGAAGTAAAGATCAAAGAAGGTAAAGTCATTTAGCAATTCTCTCTAGATGTAATTAAAGTAGATTACAAAATACTAGCCATTAGCTCATTCCAACACCAACATCTTGTCCCTGACTCACTGTGAGGTGAGGAAGCATAGCTGGACATAAATTTAATAGTGTTTGGGTCTACGTTCTTAAAGAGAGGGTTTAATTTAAACTTGGAAAATTGGGTGAGATCTAAAACCACACTTCTAGTTCTTTTTTTTTTTCCTTGAACAAGGCAGTATCCCTAGACATCATGTCAGCATCCATTCATTTCTAAGAGGAGCCATTTTGAAATCAAAATTATGCATCATCCTACTCCATTAACCAAAAAAGGTCTAAGTGTACTAGATTAATCTCAGTCACATTATTATACTTATTGAGAACAACAATTCATAACTCCTAGAATACCTGCACTTAAAATCATATCTACCATTGCACCCACATTACTAAACACAACGATATTTATTCACAAGTAGAACATTGATCATTATAGAAATTATTAAACATAGAAGAAAGGAATCATACTTGGACACTGGGATTTACCGGAGTGTCTGATTTCTCCACCCGTAAAACATCAACCTTCGTTTCAAGAACCACATCAGATCCCTCAACTAATTTCTCCGAAACCTCCACACCATCAGTTGCTTTGGCTACCGTCGCTTTGTCACCTTCAACCTCAGCCTCCTCCTCCTGCTGCTCCTCCTCCTTTACCTTCTCATCCTTCGGAGGCTCCTCCACTGGAAGAGGAACAATCTGAGGCTCGACTTCGGAAAAGGGGTTATCCGCGGCGATAGGGTTAGGGTTAGGGTTGGAGGTGAAAGGAACAGCAGTGGTGTCGACTTCAGAGGTGGATTGGAGGCGCGAGAGAGCTTTGGCCCGGCGGCGGAGGAGTTGCCGGAAGTCCTTGAGGGAGATCTTGGGGGTGGGAATGAGCCATCGACGGGGAACGTCAGTGGCGACTTTGTGCAGGTTACCTTTGTATAAGGAAATTGCAACCATTTCTCACTCCCCTTCCCCTCTCTGGGTTTCTGAATTTCTGAGGAATTAAGCCATGGCTTCCGGTTAAATCACACCCACGAAGCTGCAGATCATATCACTTTCTGTCTCCTAAACCTTTTTCTTTTATCTTTCTCTATTTTCTTTTCATTTTGTGAGTTCTACAGTTTACCCATCATCCATTATTTTATTTACTGAATATTTTTTTATAATTATAAATTTAAATAACAAAATAAAATATTTTTTTAATAACAAAATATAATTTTATAAATTAATCAAATAATTAACACCACGTCAAAATTCGCATTCTAAATTATTTACGAAAATAATTACAGAAGCAAATTCAAAATATTAAATAGTAAATATACCCACAATTAATACAATTAAAATAGAATAACAATTAAAAAAATAAAATTGTTTTGCATGTTTCTTCAGTTAAAAATAAAAAAGTTTTGTGAGCCCAATACTGAAAGTGATCATTTTTTTATGCTTTTTCTCTTTTGGGTTGCCTACTTAGTTTCTAAGTCCAATTATAATATTTTGGAATAAGGTTCAAATAAGTTATTGAAATACACACGAAAATATAATCAGACCATTAAACTTAAAAAGAGTACAATTAGGTCCCTGAATAATGTAAAATGTTGTAATTAAACCACAAATAACTTGTTTACCTGATGTGTAAGTTATCATATTAAAATAACAAATTTTTATTTTCTTTTAGTAATTTAAAATAGCTAAACTAAATTTAAAAAAAAAAAAAAAAAAAAAAAACAGTTTTCAGCTTCGTCTCCGCTGCCGGAGACGAGCGGAAACGAAGAACCAGTCTCCGCTGCTGGAGACGAAGAACCAGTCTTCGTCTCCGGCAGCCTGGAGAAGAAGAAGGTTCTTCGTCTCTGACTGGGGATGAAGAGCTCTTCGTCCCTGGCCGGAGACGAAGAAGGTTCTTCGTCTCCCTACCGGAGACGAAGGGGCCTGTAGATGAAGAACCTTCTTCGTCTCCGGCCAGGGACGAAGCCCCCGGTCGGAGACGGTTCTTCGTCTCCACGCTGCCAGAGAGGTTCTTCGTCTCCGGCAGACAGAAAACGAAGCGGCGGCGAACTTTTTTTTTTTTTTTAATTTTTTAATTTTTTGTTATTTTAAATTATTATAATAAAATAAAAAATTATTATTTTAACAGTATAACCTCCACATCAGCAAGCTACCAACTAAACAAGTCATTTTTGGCTTAATTGCAACATTTGTGTTGTTCAGGGGTCCAATTGCATTTTTTTTGAGTTCAATGGCCTAATTGCATTTTCTTGTGTAGTTCATTGGCCTATTTGACCCTTATTCCTAATATTTTTTTTTCTTTGGTTGCCTACCCGGAACGTTATGCTGTGAGCCCACCTTGCAAGGTGAGCACGATTTCATATCCATAATTTTTATAGTGTAGATTCATAATCTTTATACTGTAGATTCATAATTTTTATATTGTAGATCCATAATTTCTATACTTTAGATCATAATTTCTAAATCGTAGATTCATAATTTAAATACTGTATAATCATAATTTTTATATTGCAGATTCATAATATCTGTAATGTAGATTCATAATCTCTGTACTGTATATTATCAATTATGAACATATAGTTCTTTGATTTGTGAAAACAGAGTTCAACAATTGGAATCTAAAGTATAAATTTTATGAATCTACAGTATAAAAATTATGGATCTACAATATAAAAATTATGAATCTAGAGTATAGAAATTATGGATATGGAACCGTACTTATCTTGCAAGGTGGGCACGTGCTCAGAGCATAATTTGCATGCCTACCCTGCTACGAACCAATCGTTATTTCGTGAACTATGGTCCACACATTTGTATTAACCACAAATAAAAAAATACATTTTTAATATATTAAATGTACATTATTCGTATACATAATTTGGAAATACATACTTTTTTTATATTATCAAATAATGTATATTTAATATACAAATAATGTCTTTTAATATATTAAAAATATATATTGCATTCATGATCCACCCAGTTATGTGGACCATGGTCCACACAATAATTTACGGTTACGAACCTGTCATTGGAAGTGATATCATTTTTTTCTTTTTGTCATTTAGACTGCCTACACAGCCTGCAAGTCTAATTTGTGTAGTTTTTTTTTTTTTTTTTTTTTTTTTTTTTTTTGTCTTTTTAAAGATTAGCACCTTTTGGACGGTTCCAAGATTCAATTGTGTTAAAGCACACTTCAAGAGTAAGATTGTTCAACCCTTAATTAATTTAAAATCAATAAAAAGTGTTTGATGTTTCCATTGTGTGTTTGAATGATTATTTTCCAACAAAAATGCTAGTATTGCTAAATTTGCAAGAGTTTGATCTTGCCATCTTCCTAGTTCCTATGAGTGAGTCAGGATAGAATGTGTTGTGGAATAAGGAGCACACTTAAGCTAGTACGTTGAGCTCTCAATAAGAGCGTCAATTATGGAGAAAATTAACCTGAGATTCGAATTAATTAATCCAATAAAAAATTAAAGATAAATATAATATGAAAACAAATACAATGTTCGAAAGAGACAAATGAATTTCATATATAGTTCATGAATGCTTGAGTATTACAATAAGAAGTGTTAGAATGAGACAAAGTGTATCCTAAGCTAGACAAAGACTTGATTATTTATACTAGCCGTTTTACAACTTCCATGTAATTTTTGCGCCTTTCAAATGACTTGGACATTATTCAACAGCCATGCCAGCCATGGCCAACCCTGGAGGTCGATCCCGGGGTCCCATGGCTAACTTCAACCCTTGTCAACCTCGTCCACTTTTGACCTCGGTAACCTTTTCACTTTGGGCTTCGCTTGTTTTAGTCAAGCTAATATGTCCATTAGTAGTGTTAATTTGTACATTGTGATTTCTCTCTTTTACACTCACAATTTTTTTCCAATTTTACCATTCTTTTTTCATTTCCTTCTTAAATTATAAACACCGTTCAATATAACAGTGTGTACATTGTGATTACTTTTTTTACTCTTACAAATTATTTCCAAGTTTATGTTTTTTTTAAATATATATATATATATATATATATATATAATGTATTAATTATTTAGTATCTTTTATATTTTTTGTCATAATAGTTATAATTTTTTTTACAGGTTTCTCAGTTTCCCTGATGACATGGCGTCGTTATTTAGCTTATATGGAGTTTTTTTTTTTTTTTTTTATCAATTCCCCCGGTAAGTATTAATAACTAAATCTCTAAGCCCTTTTCGGCGAAGCTCTCCTGTTCGACGAAGCCCTCTTGTTCGATTAAGCCCTCCTGATCGATGAAGTCATTCTTGTTCGACGAAGTCGGATCGAAGCTTACCAATCCTACTTTGAATTCATCAATGTACAAAAGTGTTAAAGATGTCATCTTCCTCGAATTCATCACAAGTGGAGCAAATATGAAGTACGAGCCTAGTATTATTGTAATTGTGGGTTGAAAGCTCCTATTTGCACAACTATAGACTCAACCAAACAATTTTTCGAGTGTCAACGATATAATGTATGGATTTTCAAATTTTCGATTAAATTTTTGAGTATTTAATTGTTTAAATTTTCCTCATTTTTTTCAGGTTTGTTTCGTTTTATTCGTAAGGTTTGATTCAGTTGTTTTTTTTTCCTTTCAATTGTTCGAAAACAATGATTTCGGGATGTTTTATCCCGGTAAACTTTGATTTTTTTGTTGTTTATTTTTTCATTTAATTGGCTTTATTCAATTGTTTGATTATTTCAATTTTATTTGTCCATGATGGAAATGGTTGTGGGTTTTTCTTTGGAAATATCAAAGTTCAAGAAGGGCGGAATGTGAGCAGGAAGACATAAAGAAGCTAGTATATAATATTGTCTTTGAGATGTGAAATAGAATGTGCGAGAAGCCTAATTGTAAATGAGTATAGTGATATGAAAAAGAAAAACAAAGTGTTGATGAAAAAATGTGTTGTTCTCATGGCTGTAATTGTGGTGCTTGTAGCAAAAATGTTTCCTTTGAAATTGTAATGCATTGGTTTTGGTTAGATTGTAATGCATTGATTTGGTCTTTTGTGTTAATATGTAGCAAAAATGTTTCATTTTGACTACTCATTCAAGAGACACACAGTCAAGATAAACAATTCATCTATAGAAGTTAACATTGAGCCACATTGACCATACACTGGTTCCCTAACCTATCCAAATATGCAACAACCGCACAATCAAAATAAACATATCATCCATAGCAGTTAACATTAAGCATAGAACAATAGCCAAAATTCATCAATATAAAGTTAACATGAAAATTAAGTTAACCAAACCATCCATATTGATGAGTAAAGATATTCAATACATTAATCATTCACAACATTCATCAGTAGGCAAAAATCAATAATTATAGTAGACAAGATTCACTAATCAACAACTAATCAGTAGTCAAAATGCGCTAATCATCCACTAGCTAGTAAACATACATAAATCATAAACACAAAAATAAATCCCTCCATCATACTATGTAGTGGCCTTCAGGGTTCCAATTCCTTCACTTTGTACAATCTACAAAGATAAAGAAATCATTATCAAGTAATCCAACACTCCTAACAACAATATACATGAACATAAATTATAAACACAAAAATAAGTTCCTCTCATCAAACTATGTAGTAGCCTTCATGGTTCCAACTCCTTCACTTTGTGCAATCCACAAAGATAAAGAAAGCATTATCAAGTAATCCAACACTCCTAGCAACAATATACATGAAGTGTTGTGTTAATCTATTTACCTGACATTCTAACAGTGCTTTCCTAAGACAATATTGTCTATCTTCCCCTTCCTCTTGCACTTCATCTTCTCCTCACAGCAATAGATGGCATTCCTCTTCCTCTAATAGCAAAAGAACTATCAGATTCTGCTTGTTGGCTTGACAAACTAGGATAAAATCTTTTGTTATGACCATTTCCCTTGCATAGTTGACACGTCAGTATTCTTCCTTTCCTTGACAACTTACTCACCTATATACTCAATTTTTTTGTTCTTTTCATTATCTTCAAGCTTTTTTTTTTTAATTTGCTCTGTCAATCATCTTCCTTGGAACTGGAGCATGTATCTCATCTCCTTCAGTTCTTGGCCAAAACATTTCTCCATTCAATAGCTGGATTACATGCTCACAAGTCTTCAAGTACAACTCCTTACTATATTATTCATGGATGTACTCTTCAGGTTGATGTCCTTTGTGAAATATAGCACAAATGCCATGAGGACGTGGGATACCAGTCAATTGTCAAAGTCTACAAGAACATGTTCTCAACTATAAATTGACATTGAATTGAAATCGATCTACCCTTTTTAATCTCATTGCACTCAGCTTCATTGAAGACCACTTCCCAACATGCATTCCCAAGTATGCTTTCATTCACCTTCTTCATCACAAATGAGCCATAATTCCCACACCATTTTTCAGCACATGATTTCTTATGTGCATTCCTCTTCATCACAAATACTCGTATATCCTCAAGCATTGAAATTAGGGTAAAAGACATTTTTTGTCCTAGACTTATAGTGGCACAGACAATTTTAGTCATTCATAAAAAAATCAGACAATTTATGGACACTTTCACTGTGACGAGGACAATTTTGATCCTCCGTCACTCTTCCCGTTAAATGCTCCGTTTGAGAGGAGTATTTATGTCTTTTCATCATACCTCCTTCTTACCGCCCTTTTAGTCTCGTTCTCAGACCTTAGTTGCAATTCCTTTTCCTTTCTCATCATTTTTCTGCAATTCCTCTATTTTTCTCTTAGCCACAAAACATCGTCCAAACTTTCTATCCCTTCGCTCTGCCTCCGCTACGGCCGCCACCGATTCCAACTACCCCGGTTCAACTGTCATCGCTTCCGCCGTTACTATCGTCGTCGCCTCCTCCACCGCCATTGTTGTCTCTACAGCCATTGTCGACGAAGAAGGCGGTCGGAACTACGTTCGGAGCTATCGCGGCAGGTCTCCATTTTCCGAGCTCCGACACTCCGACTGCTGCGAACCATCGACCAACTTGCTATTGCGAATAGGCTGTTGTGGTTCATCAAAGGTAATCATATTGCCAGCATCCATTGTCATTGCTCCCTTCGTAATGCATAGGGTTTGCTTCAAATTCTGTTTCAATTGAATGAGTTTCACTTTCTTCTCTGCTAATTGAATTAGGTCTGCTTGGATTTGCTTTGCATTTGGTCTTGACTTGTACGATTGGAGTCCAATTTAGATTATTTGTTTTTGTCACCCCTTTGTAGGAATTGGGTTGCTGTCAAAATTGAGCTTTGGGTTGAATTTATGCTTGTCGGTTTCTTTGTAATCAAATTGCAGTCTTATATATATATATATATATATATATATATATATATATATATATATATATATATATATATATATATATATAATTAATTCATGGTGTCATTTTGCTTTGGGAGAGATGGTCTTTCAACTTGTAGTGTGTCTTCACAGTTGGATTTGTTGTTTCTGTGAATTTTGTTGAGGAAAAAAACAGCAGTTGATCGATTAGGCCATGATCGCTTGAATGTCCATATTTACTTCATTTGCAGGTAAAGACTTGATAATGATTAATGGACACTTATGTTAAGGAGATGTAATTACATTGTTTTTCATTCAACTGCACAATGTTTAATGCTTATAGCACAATAACTGCTAAAACCAGAAAGTGTAGTATATGTTGAATTATTGTCTTTATTGATGTATTTGTTATACTTGTTGCAGATAATCACAAAGACTCTTGGTTGGCTGCACAGGTAATATATAATTCTGAGGTGTTTAAACTTTGTTGATTTGATTTGATAGATAGTTGTTCAATGAATAGTGATATGTGCTAATTTTGCAGAGAGAGGACCTGCAGAGATTAATGGACTTGTTATCAATTAAGGTATATCATGCACGAACCTTACTTATTCATTACCGTTGGGATTCTGATAAGGTCTTTACAGCATTTGTGGAGAAAGGGAAGGAAAGGTTATATGTTGATGCTGGTTTAACAATAGAACGCAACGATGATCATTCGTTATCTGAGTCCACTGCTAACATGGAATGTGAAATCTGTTTTGATAATATTTCTGTTGCAAAGACAACTATAATGGATTGTCGCCATTCATTATAAGGATCTATTCTAACTCTTCATGCATGAATCTGATTCCTTTTTTTTGTTCTTCTAGAATTTGTTCTAATTTCAACTATTGGATTTCGATGAACTTTTGCAGTTAGGAAGGAAGGCTTTATTCTTTAAGTTGTGCTAAGTCTGTGAAAGTTGATATGATTTTGAATTGTTTGGTGTAGGCTGGACAGAGCATTTCATAATGCAAATAAATGAGGGTCAGAGTAAACGCATGGATGAGGACCAAAATTGTCCATCTCACAATAAAGAAATAACCTGAATTGACGCAATTACCCCCCTCTTAGACGGGCATCTAACATAAATATAGATAGAGGACTAAAATTGTCCTCATCATAATAAGAGTGGGCAAAAAGTGGCAAAATATTTTATAAAAGACTAAAATTGTTCGTGCCACCATAAATCTAGGACCAAAAATGTCTTTTACTCTTGAAATTATATTCTTTGACATTGAATTCAACAAAGTCTTGTGCATCTTCCAGAGGAATATCTAATGGTGGCACATATTGGGGTATAATTTCATCATCTACTCATCTTCTTCTTTTTCTCTTATCCATATCTTCATTTCTATTTGTATTATGCTCATTGCCACTACTTAACTCAGTCTCGCGGTCACTGTCACTACTTAACTCAATATCGTGCTCACTATGATGGTCACACTCACTTTCGAATTCACTCACAAGTTCAAAATGCGCCTCAACTTCACTCCTATTTGTTCACCCCCTAATCCCGCCTCAACTTCAGTCCCCTCATACTCACCCCCTAATTCTGCCTCAACCCCATCATCAACTTGAACTTCACCCCCTTCATGCCCAAGTAAACATAAACCAAACATTTCAGCCTCATCTACACAATGTTCAACATAAATCTCACACTTTTTATTTTGATGAGCAACCTGAGCTAAGTGTAGACTACTAGCATCATTATGTAATAATTTTAAAGCTTGAAAGGTTCCAGTGGTCAACTTATAAGTAAATGAGACTATTTTCCCATATCTTTGGTATGCTATATACTTGACTAAATGGGGATAACATATTAAGTCTGGGTCAATACGCACTACCTCAAACTCACCATTCAAATATGGGCCCTAGACTTTTGCACAAAAGTATCACTATGATGAATTATTAATTCCACACATTCATTCATCCTGACAAAAAACAAAAATTCAATGCACATTTTAAACATAAAAGCAAAGACCACACTTTATCACTTTATACACAACAAATTGACAAAAATCAGCCTAACAATAGTGTAAGGCCACACTTTGTACACACATTTAAATAAATAATAATAATAAAAATATAGCAGGACCCCACTACATCAAAATCATAAACATATATCAATTCGCAACAGAATCACACTACATAAGCATATATTATTCACAGCAGGACCACATCGCAGTACCACACCATATTCGCAGCAGAACCCTACCACGACGCCATTACTATATCCATTACACAATATCTCCAAACACCATAGTATAAAAACATTAAGTGTAGCAAAATCCCACCAAAAATCAAACTTTGTTCTACATACCTTATTCGTTTTCTTCCTCATTTTCTGGTTGTGTTGCGTCAATTTTCCCTCGGTCTTCCAGTCGATTTTTCTTTCGTTCAGTGTTGTCGTCTGTTAGATTAGGGAGTTAGAGTTTTGGTTTGGGGTGTTGAGATGTTGTCGAATGGTAAAATTTCACATTAGGGATTTAGAGTTTCTTAGTTCTAATTTTGTTGTTTTAAGGAAAATGATTAAATGGTTGTCATGCATGTCATACATTTAATAAGTATTTTACATACGTCAATAAAAAAAAAAAATTCACATCAGTATATTATCACCTGTAACTTGTAGGTAATTAACCTGTGAAAAATGCTGGGTGAAAAAAATTAATGATAAGTGGAACGAAAAATATGTTAGGAAAATTCATGGTGCAACATGAATAATCTGATATAGTTGATGTTGCGGAAGGACACTTTAGCCTATAGTTTAACATTTGGTTTGATTATATAATTTCACCATTATTTTTGTTTATTCGGAATTTTTTTATTGCATATATTTGTAATTAGCAATAACAATAAATGATGACATCGATTGAGCATCTACACTAGTGAATTTTTGTTTTGTTTTTTTTTTCTTTTTTTGGAGCCCATGGTGAGGTGGATGTGAGATAAGAAGAAGAGAGAAGCAAATTTTAACTCGCAAGATATGATTTTTTGTAGGCCCCAAGAAGAGAGAAGAAAGTGAGGAATGGCCCAGAGCATTGCGTCCGCGCACATAGCGATGGGCGCATGTGTGCCTATAAATTTCATTAGTTTATCGTCTGACAATGTTGTTTCACTTTTTTTCCTTCCATTTACTCTTTTCCTCCTTTCTCCTGTTTGACTTCTAAAAAATTGTGCAAAAAAAAATAAAACACCAAATTTTGCACCAAATTTTACACCAAAAAGAACATTCCCAGCATAATTTTACACCAAATTTTATTCATCTCCAACCCATTACACCAAATTCTATTTCTACATTAAAATAATTTGTTTTCTAATAAATTAAAACTTTAATTTTTTTAATATAAAATTTAATTGTAATGCAAATAATATTTTTATTCCACAATAATATAACAAATAACAACTATTACATTTAATTTTCAAAATTAACATATCGTTTCCACAAATGCTCAATCACATTACGAAGCGCATAATAATGCGCTTATTTATATTTTACGAAGTGAAAATTATGTTTTATGTACTTTAGTGTTTAATTAATCTATATATAATATTAGTCTTGTTTTCATCATCTTGATGAAATCTTTCAAATGGTATAATTTATTTTTAATTATTCAATTTTTGTGTTAAAGTATTTAACAACATATGTAAACACATTATAATAAAATAGAGATACAAAAGGAATTAACAAACAAAACTAAGAGCCCAAAAAGAATTAAGTCTTCTATACCAAAATGGCGTTCATCTACGGTGCAGCGCCATATATAACGATGCACTGTAGACAAACGCCAAAATGACGTAAAATTTGGCGTCTCGTTGGAGAAGATTTTACGCCAAATCTTTAGCCATTTTGGCGTTTGGCGTCTTCGTTGGAGAGTGGAGACGGCCTTAGGACGGTATACTCGTGTATAAACCAGCAAAGATGACGCAATAGCTAGCCGGCTTGTTCAGCCAACTCAATAATCATTTGCATTTTGAATCCATCCAACAACCATTATTTTAGTTTGACCAGAACATTCCATTACAGGTCATACACTATATTATGCCATATGCAAATCCTGAGATTATAAAATCAAAATAAAGTTCCTTTTATAATTTGTATCATTCTCACATCATTAAACAAATAAAAAAGTATAGACCAACTAACATCCGACTAAAAATTTAGAAAGAAATTGTTTGTCAAATTGAGCATTTTTTTTACGTTGAATTGAATGAATATATATATATATATATATATATATATATATATATATATATATATATATATATATATATATATATATATATATATTGAATACCTAAGCAAAAAAAAAAATAAAAATGACTTTTTGAAGTCATTTATTAAATTTCCACGGACCCTATAAATAAAGCATTGTGTAAGCCCTAACTAAAATATTCCATATTCATTGATTTTTTTAATGGTTTGATTTTGTTGTTTTTAGTATTTGTTATTAAAAAATTATTTTGGTTGAATAAAAAGGAAAGAAAATAATTCCTTTTTTTTTTTAAAAAAATATCCTTGAACTCCTATAGTCGAGGACGAAATTAGGTATTAATAGAGATAAAATTACAAAGCTATCTTAATACGGAGTATAAGACTCAATTGGATAAACCAGTAAAGTCGATGACCTAATTAAGCACAAACAGTCATTTAAGACTAAATTGAAAAAAAAATCAAAATAGTCGAGAACTAAATTGAATTTTGAGGTCTTTAGGGGGGTGTATTCAATCAAGACTTTTAAAGAGTTTCAAAGACTTTTAAAGTGACGGATTTTAAATGACTTTTGTAGAGATTTTGTAGACTTTCATAGAATCTTTTAAACTTTCATCTACTTTGTAAGAGTCTTTAAAAATCCATAGGACAAACATTTATAGACTTTTAAAAACTTTTTCATATTAAAAAGTATACAAAAGTCATTAAAACTCTATATTGAATACGCCCTTAGAGCATCCACATTAGTTGGAGAGATTTGGGAGATAATGTAAGAGTGATTAGGAAAGATAATGTGGGAGGGGAGAGAAAAGAAAAGAAAAAAAAATAACAAAACAAAAATTGAAAAAAAAATAATAATAAAAACCTGTCGCGTCAGTCGCGTTGTCAGCGCCTGACGCGCTACACGGGCGCGTGTCGTGTAGTTCGCGCACAGCCAGTGTTGTTTTTTATTTTTTTTTTCTTTTTTTCTGACATTATCCTTGAATTTGCAGAGCAAATATTTTCACAAATAACCCCACCCCACATTTGGTATTATCCCCACCCAAGATAATTCATCTGACAATATCTCCATAATATCCACTGATGTGGATGCTCTTACAAACATTTCATAACTTTTATTAATACATTATTTATAATTTTCACGCCACTACTATCACGCCATTCATTTTTTATCGCATCAACCATAAGTTGTAACAACTCATTACTCTCCTCAGGTGCCCACAATGCATAATTTTCATTAACTTTATTCTTACCTTTACTCTTTTCTTGATCTCCCATTACTATAAAATAAATATGAATCTCTCAAAAAATTCAACTTAACACAAATGCATACATTAATAATTAATGAACATACAACAACATAAAATTATGTTAATTATATAAAACGAATTTGTAAAAATTTGAGTATATTAATTCTATTGGTTGCAACAAAAATTTATAGAAGATTTCTGATGGAAACAACAGCAAGATTTAAGCATATTAAAATTTTGATGCAAATTCGCAGCAGATTTAAGCAGATTAAAATCTGCTGCGAACAGCAGCAGCCAGCAGATTTTTGCTGCGAACAGCAAGCTTGTTGTTCACAGCATGTTCGTTGCTGCGAACAGCAAGCTTGCTGTTCACAGCAGCAAGCCAGCAAATTAAAACAAAATTACATAAATAAAA